AATTGTGGTCAAGATGTATCACCTTTTTAAAAAAACCAACACTTGGGCTGGGGACATAGCTCAGTGGCACAAGTGCCTGCCTGGCAAATGCAAGGTCCTGAGTTCGATCCCCAGTACCAAAAAAAAGTTAAAAAAAAAAAAAAAAAAAAACCAACACTTACACAGAGCCACAAAAAGCAACTTTTTAATGCAACAGCATTTTACTAATTGTCTTCCTTTACAGGTGATTTTTATGTATCTCTTTAGTAAATAGTTCTGTTAAACCTCGTTACAAACTTGGTGACAGAACTACCATTCCACAAACAGTCCAAAAAGTAACTATTACTGGAAGTACCTGACATGTGATTAAAGCAGCAGAGCTGGTGCACTTTTCTGGTCCATAGGTTCCCGCAGCTGCAGTTTTACCTTCAGACATTATCACCCATTTTCTACACTGTTCTACACGAGGGTGGTCCCTTCTCACATTGCTCTTCACTGACTTCCACACCAAGTATGTAATAAATGCCTAAGAACTGAAAACGGCTTCCTACAGCTTCTCCTGCAAGGCAAAACTTGGTCAGAACTTTTTTTTTTATCTTAAAACTGCAAATTCCGTGTGGCAAATTGTCATTACTTCTGCTTTTACTATCTTATGGGTGGTTTTCAAGATTTCCGATGTGGTACACTTTTCCAGCATGAAATAAAAATGGACACAAAAACAATTTTAAGATAATTTTACTATAAATGTTACTATGATGCTTCTCAAAATGAATGTAAAGACAAGAACTTTTTTAAAGTAAATTATCTAAATCAAAGGACTGAAATTATTTACCTTTTGAAAGGTTCCTTTTTAAAACTTCCTTAAAAAATCGTTAATTTGGGACATAATATTCTCTTAAGGAGCAGTGTAAAAAGACAACTTGTATTGTTTGTATATACATACAAACATACAAGCCAAATTATTTCACAGAAAATTTAAAGATATTCTGGGGATATTTGGCATCTGTATTGGATTTACTACCTTGTCAGTACATATGCCAAGACTTCCTCCAGTAACTTTTTTTTCTTTTGTGTCTTGTTGAGACAGGGTCTCTCTATGCAGTTTAGGCTAGCCTTGAGTTTACTTGTAGCCCAGGCTGGTCTTGATCTCACAACAATCCTCTTGCCTCAGCCTCCTAAGTGCTGGGGTTACAGGCATGCACCAGCACGCCCAGTAACTGTTTTAAAATCTTTTAAAATGAAACTTACAATTTAACTCAGCTATCCCCCTTGCTGGTATCTTCCTGAAAAAATTAAAAGCATACCACAGCGATATACGCACACCTATTTATAATAGTTTGTAATAGCCAGATCTTGGAAACAGCCCAAATCCCCATCAACTGGTGAATAAAGAACTGATTTCTTTGTACAATGGAGTACTACTCTGCCATAAAGGGGGATATGGTCGAGATATTTCTAGGTAAATTAATGCACCCTGAGACCATATTAAGTGAAATAAATCGGACACACGTCAACAGCACATTATTTCTCTGGAAAAACCAAAAGTGTAAATAAGGACCAAAAAGTATACTAGGTATTGTGAAATAGGAAGAAAATGTTCAAATAAAGAGGGGAACGAGAGTGAGAGGGGAAGGTAAAGGTAAGAAGGGAAAAAATGTGAAAAGGAGGAGACAATGGAAACAAAGCTTTTGCGAAGGGAGAGGAAAAAGCGGTTGAAGGGAGGGTAGGAGAATGGGAAAAAAAATCGTTATCATTTCCAGGTACAAACTATGATGAATGTATGTATATCTAAAATGTACCAATAAAATCTGATAAATCAAAAGGACTGGAGGTGTTAAAAAAAAAAAAAAAAAAAAAAAAGGGAAACTTACAGAGTAGACCCAAGTGTTTAAGGAACTTATAGTTATTGACCTAGTATGTTTTTTAACTCATCCCATTCCCTTCTTGCTCTTACATAGTTAGTAAAATTCTTTATGAAATAGGAATCAAAGGATCAGGGAGTGTTTGGTATCTTCTTAAAAGTAGTACCAACTTCATGTGACTTATTTGAGCAATAGAAATCAAATGTTCATTTACTGTTCCCTGTATCCATTTTAGACGGATCTGAGAATAGGGAGATAGGAACAGTACATCCAAATGTTAAAATATTTGAGATCTAATTCATTATCAAACTCTCACATGCACTTAAACTTGGTCCACGTACTTCAAATATACAACTATTATTAAAGGAATTAAGGTTAAACTTACCCATTAACAAGCAGTTTCATGTTGAGGCTAATTTTATGTCACACATTAAGTATAAATGTATGCTAATATTGCAGGGTGTTCAATATCACTCTAGCTTCTTTTCTCATTATTTACTATGGCCTTAGACATTCCTTAACTCCAAAAATGTAAGTCAGATGTCCTGTAACTTCAAAAAGGTCACCAACTAACCTACAATTAGTGTAGGCAGGATGTCTACATCCCAGTCCCTGGCACATCTATAAACAAGTTACACAGAAAAGAGGAATTAAGGTCACAGACGGAATTCAGAACATTATTCAGCTGACCTTAAAGTAGTAAGATTATGTCGGCAGATGATCACAAGAGTCTTCACAAGTCAAAGAAACAGGAAGTCAGACAGAGCTGGCAACATGAGAAAAGACTCAGCCTCATTTTGTAGAGGAAAAGATCGTGAATGGAGGAAAGTGGTTGGCCTCTAGAAGTCAGAAAAGGTAAAGGAGTGGATTCTTCTAAAATCTGCAGGGAAAAATGAAATTACCATGGGGACAGCTTGATCCCACATTACTCAATGAGATTTGCATCACATTTCTGACCCACACAACTCAAACAGATCTGTGTGGTTTTATCATAATTTCTCATAGCAGCAAGAGAAAATAGAAGACTCGAGTATGAAAACTAGAATTGGTGATTAAAATAAACCGCGCCTGTGCACGAACCCAAAGGTGTTGGCTATGTCTTGTTCACTTTGAGAGACCAGGTTGCTCAGGGTAGTTTCAAGAGGACCACAAAGGGGCTAGGTAAGAATCAGGCTCTGCTCCTCTCATTCAGTTACCAGAACAAAACTGGCAAACGTGGGCTTTGGAGAAAAAGCAAAATTCGGCTTGGACTAAGACTGACAATGCAGTTTAACCTTGGCAACTTTTGGAAGCTCCAGTTTCCTCAGCTTTCTGTGAAGTCGTCCCCTCTCAGAGCTCATCGAGGATTACATGAAGCACTCATCTCAGGTCTGAGAGAGGCTCACAGCAGCTTGCTTACTGCCACAAAAAATGTAAAGGGTGAGCTTACAGGTCCTGAGACTCCCTAGCACACTGTACTAACAGACTACATCTAAGCTGTCTTGGGGTATTTCTAATTTTTAAAAAAAAATTGACCATTTTTTGAAGATCAAGTTTTCCTAAAACAGAGCAACCTGAAAGATGACATTTTTGTACTTCACTAGTTTAAGACTGGTTGTAGGCGGGACTTAATAAACTAGGAAAAGCTTCACATCTACAACTCCATAAAAATTTTGTATTTTCCCCTTCTTTTCTCACCAGGAAAACCTCAAATAATAGAGCTTTCCCTCCTCTCCACAGTATTTCAATCAGAGGTTAAGACACCTCGGTGGGGGTATGGCTTAGTGGTAGAGCACTTTCCTACCATGTAGTTTAGGCATGCAGCCCTTCGTTCAATCCCCAGCACCTGAAATTCAGGAAATGGCCATGACTAATAAGAGGCTATGTAGGCTTTGTCTATTTTTAAAAGTTTATATTAAAATTCAATGAGATTCAATGATATGAAGAATTATAGATTAAGCATCACAACATATGTAAGAAATTATTAGCTAAGTGGTGATCAAAAACTGATGTAAAGACTTTATTCCATTTAATAAATGACTGCATTTTACTTGTACCATAGAAAAGAAATTTGGTGTCAGATCAACTATTAAACCAGTAAAAGATCTACTGATAACATACACAACTGAAATTTAAAAAAACTAAAGTTTGGGGTTTTTTTGTAAATTTTTAAAATCTTGATAGCAATTTCCTCATGGTACAAAAGATGACCGACCAACCTTAGATTTGGCAGGCAACTGAGGGGAGGTTGGAGGCTTTTATTTCTAATAATTTAACCTCCGAAAGAAAAACAGGCTGAAGTTAAACATACTTTATTAGACTAAAAATCCCCCATTTTTGAACTTTCACGATGATGAATTTCAGGTAAAGATTTTTTCTAAAAAGCAACTTTTGCAAGTTGCTATACATTAAATACAATTCCATTCTGAACTTCTCACCCATGAAAACTGCAACACTCAGTTAGCTGCAGAACTATTTGTAATCCTTAGCTTCAGGAAATCAATCTTAATTTTGTGGCTGATATTTTTTTCATTGGTACATGTAGGTTAAAAACACTGGTCTCTTTTTTTTGGTGGGGGGGCCTCAGCATCACTTGACAGCTGTTGCTTTAAATTACAGCCATCAATACAGTATGTATTTTAGCGGGGTAAATTTAGACCTGAAATAACAACTACCTCCATGTGCTTTCTATCTGAAGTAACACTGGCCTATTAAACTGTATGGCTGCTGTGTAACAGTCACGGCAAACCTTTTAGAGCTTTCAATGATATAAACAACCTGCTGTGTGCTATGGGTTTGCCACCACTGCCCTATAAGGAAAGCAAGGTTAATTAGGCATTTTACAAAAAGATTCAAAACATAGCTCACTTAGGTAAAAGTCCTGTGGTCTTACAATGGACAGTCAGTGTAACAAAATTTTATAGTGTACAAGTATTCAAGAAACACACCAACTAAGTAGGACATAGCTTCAGTTTTTCATTAGCAGTTCTAAATGCTAGCCTCTTTAGAATACACAATTTATCTCAGACTAACCTCTAAAATTTAAAATGACTGCACTCCAACCTAACTGGCATAGCTATGTACAGATGTTGGCTGAGTCAAGAGAACAGTGTCTAAAGGTAATTAAAACTTGAAAGAACAAATTATTTTACTACTGAATTTCAAACCACACACACAAAATAGATGAGAAATTCTTTTATCATATTTAGAATCAAAATATCCCTTAAAATATTTACATTTTACAGTAAAAAGGATAGCAAAACACAAGATCATGTACAAGCTTAAGTATTCAAGTTTCTGAAGAGCCAAAAAATAAAAACAAAAACAATAGACTACCACAAAGCTGTTGTGTATGGTAATAAATTTCTTCAATGAGTGCGGATTAAAGTAACAAATGTGCTCCTTGGACTTCTGATTCTTGGTCAAAAACTGCTCAACTGAATGATTAGTATAATCTAGTTATGAAGTTGCTTGGCTTTTTGTTGCTCCTCTACAATTTCTTTAAAAACAGTGCAATTTTAAACTTACAGAGCACAAATTACTCTCCAATAGTCACTATATAAAGGACACTCACTAGAGGCGGTAAATACTTTCCATAGTTAACCATATTTACCAATTAAGGAATAAAAACTAAAATTTCTAAGCCTTTATTGCATATTAATAAAACAAATCTTTGAATATACAGCAATGTAAAACTTTTAAAAATATTAAATTCCTATAGCTAGGTTCAGTACGAAGGGATGATGAGCACTGGCGCAGAGCACTCTGCACCAACAGACAGAACCGAGCATTCTGCAAACCACCAACAGCAAGAATCAAAAAGATGGGACAATCGTGGCAGGTAATCCAAGTAGGTACAGCATTTAGCAGTCATTTAAATGTCATCCTGAAGCAGCTGCAAAGTTTACCTTTTGCTTTTAGCTCTGTCTGTATGGTCCCTATCTTTGTGATACCTATCCCTGTCCTTTTCCCCCTCTCTGTGTTTACTTTTCTCTCGTTCTTTGTCCTTTTCATGGTCTTCACTTTTCAGTGTGTCTGGTTTCTTTGCTACATTTCTATTATCTCTGCCCACTTTTCCATCTCCTCCTCGATCACCATGTAAGAGCCGAGGCCGGTCTTTGTCTTTGTGCCCTTCCTCTCTTTTTCTGTCTCTGTCTTTGTCTTGGCTTCTGTCTCTGCGTCTGTGCCTGTCGGATTCTTGCTCCCATTCCTTCTCGTGTCGCTCTCTTTTCAAGTGGTGTGAATCACTGTAAAACCTCTGGCGGTCCCCTTTCCCTCTATTAAGTGGCCGATCCAGTGGCAGTTGGTCTTGACTACCCCAAGGGTCACTATGGCGCCTTTCTGGTCTCCGAATGTCTTTAACAGGGTGAAAGTTCTGTGGGCCCATATACCTTGATGCTTGTGAAAGCGGACCCATCATACGTTGTGGTTGGCCTGGGAGGTGAACAACAGGTGGCCAGGGAACCATTGGATTTTGAGGAAAGCCAAAGCCTGGAGGGGGCAGTAGAGGAGGTGGCAAATGTGGTGGAAATCCAAACATGCTCTGTGGGGGGAAGTTAGGAGGCCCTGCAAATGGAAACCCTGGAGGGCTGGATTTGAGATGCTGGAGGCCAGGCTGCTGGGGCCTCATGGGTGAGAAGGTCACACCCGTTCTGGGGCTGGTGCTTCTGGGAGTGAAATTGATACTTTTGGGAGGAAATTCTGATTGGCATGTGTTTCCAGGTTCAAAATGAGATGTTGTTGCAGCCACTCCTCTTCTAAATGGGTGCACAGTTTCAATATTCTGCGTTACAATGTCCTCCTGTAAGGGCTTCGCTGGTTCTGTTTGGGAAGAAGGTGTGTTTTCTACAGATGCTGAGCTCTGTGCAACCTTTGAGTTATCATTCTGCTGAACACAGTTTTTCTCTGTAGAAGACAATTTTTCTTCCACACTGATTTGTTCAGTCAGCTGCTCCTTGTTGTGTGACAGATCAGACAGGGCTTGTTTTTCTCCATTTTGGCAACCATCTCCATCTTTGCTTTCTGAAGCTATTATCTGCTGACTCCGTCCTGCTGCTTGCCTAGGATCCCTTTTCAGATTAATAAACTGTGGGGACCTTGCTGTATTAGCAACAAGATTTTCATTGCAACTCACAGTACCATCTGTGTTTCCTTTTCCTACATTAGATCTGCATGGAGAACCACTTGAAGTCGGATTATCTTGCAAATTATTCTCCTGATCTTGGAGCAGCTGTCTTTTTAATGTTCTCTCTTTATTCTCCACAGTTTCTTCTTGTTTTGACTGAATTGATAAATTTGTTAAGAATGCTTCTGTAGAAACATCTGGTGGTTTGCCTCTGAGACTAAGACCTGTCAAAGGCCCTGGAGAAATGGAAGAGGATCCCACTAACGGTGTTTCTTCTCCTCTTCCTCCTCCCGAATTACCTGTAGATTCTGAAAGATTGTCTACTTTAAGTTTTACCTCCGTGGCTTCACCATCTCTTACTTCTACTTTATCTACTTTTTCTGTCTGTGGGTTAGTTTGCTCATTTATAAATGGAATTTCTTTAATACTATTCTGTTCTACTGCTGACTGAGCCTGCTCATATACTTGGCCAGTGGTCCCCAAGAGGCTTTGAAGTATATCATCCACAGGAAGAGGTTTATTTGCTAATTCCAAAGCAGATGGTTGATTTTCCCAACCAATTAATACCCCAGGAAGAAATCGTAAAGGTTTTGGTGGCTCCTGTTTGGTGACTTCCATTAAAGGTTCAATAGCTGTTGGTGGGTCTTCCTGAAGAGCCTGCTGAGGCTTATTTCTCTGCTTGTGTAATACAGCTGTAAAGGAATTAAAAAAGTCATTTTCTTCCTCTGGTGCTTCCTCTGTAGAAGCTTCTATTTTAGTTTTTTTGTCAGGTGGCAAGACTATCGGTACATTTTCGGCAGCCTCAGTTGTATGGTAAGTACCAGGATTGACACTATGCTGCCTCTTCAGCTTTTGACGAATGATTAGGCCCAACAACAGATTAGGTCTATGCAGTTCAAGCCCTGTATAAAATGAAAAACATCAACCATCATTTTTAATCATTATATAAAACATTTTGCATTTAGTTTACCACAAGATATTAAATGGATACCTAGGTCTGTCAAGCCCTCTCTAGAGGGCTAGATCCCAAAAAAGCAAGCAGTCATTCTGTTTGCTCTGATCCCATTCCCTACTTTATTTGAAGTTACTCTCATGTTAAAACATATACCTACCAGGTCCATCAAAAGGCACAAGAGGGTGTGGAATTTTATCTGCAGCACCCAAAGGAATAAGGTACATATCTTTAACCTGCTTCATATTGTTAGCAGCCACTCCATAGCGCTTTCTGCTACTGAAGTATGCAAACAGCAAAGTGTAAGAAATTTGATCTTCTTCAGTTACTGGTGTGAAACGCACCACACAAATTTCCTATTTAAGAAAACAACAAATAGTTGCTTAAAATAATCATCTAAAAACAGCTTGGTTTTAAATACCGCTTCTCAATTAGAAATAATCAGACTTTATAATGACAGTTTACAAACTTCAAAACAGATAAGAATACTTAAGAGGCAACAAGGCTTAAGATCTTTGCTGATCAATTGCTAAGTTTGTTTTTCACAAAAAAAAATTTTTAAGAAAAATTGAGTGTCCAGATGATTAATGAATTAGTGCTTGGTTAAACAACTTGTAAGAGGCAGAGATGATACTGCAACCCAGTCTTTCAATTTGTATAACATGACTTTATTTCCAGTTTATAACCTCTACAGAGTGGCTCGTATTCTCGGAACACTGTGAATTAACAGTATTTAGCACCATCAACCCATTATGTAATTATATAAGTCTCTCCCTTATCCGTGAGGCATGTTTCAATGCCTCCAGTACATCGTTGAAACTACGAACAGTACCGAACCACATATATGTATTTTTCATATATATATATATATATATGAAATTTTATCGTATATGATAGTTAATTTATAAATTAGGTGCAGTAGAGATTAACAAATCTAATAATAAAACAGAACAATCATAACAATATCGTGTAGTAAAATTATCAGCATCACCATTTTTGCACTAACAAAGTGAAGGTCATGGGTCATTGTGACATGGACAGCCGAACTGAAAACCATGATGGATACTAAGCAACTAACAATGAAGTAGCACACACAGCCTAGATACAGACACACTAGACACAACTCATGCCCTGGGTGGCAAAGAGTAGAAGGGAGCAAGTTCTCATCGTGCTACTCAGAACGGCAATTTAAAACTTACGAATTATTTCTGGAGTTTCCCAGTTAACATACTGGAAACATGGTTGACTATAAGCAAGTGAATCCTCAGCAACCAGAGCTATGGAGAAGTAATATATACACAAATCTACCACATGGACTAAATTTAGGAATAAAGGAGGAATGGGTTACCTAACAAAAGAGGGAAAAAACATTGTTGGAACTACTGTATCTTTGTTGCAAGTGCCTATAATGAAGCAAGGAGGAGTTCCAGGGTTAACACTTAAAGAATTATTTCTTCAAAAAATGTTGACAGGAGCCCCAGAGAAAGTATAGTATAGGCAGAAAATGGAAGGGAATGCTGGGCTGTTGGACCCTAGCAAGCAGATTCTGCCCAATTTTGTGCGGCGAGTACACTGCCTCCCATGCACAGGAGACCTTGCTCCCTTCATAACTCTGGAGGAGCTCATTTGTAAATATTTTCCTACGCTGGTACTGTGGAAAAGGTTTTGCTCACCTTAGTCCCCGATGCTTTTATTTTTTCCACATAATCCCAAACTGTCTGAGGTGATATCCTGCCACCTACTTGAATACTATCTGGTAGATCCTATGTTTTTAAAAGAAAGGAAAGTGATCAATATATATGGAACACCTTTATTATAATATTCATAATCCATACAAGTAAAATGAGTTGCAGGTGACAGCTCAGTAGTGAAAGATATGCTTAGCTCTATGTTCAATCCTCAACACACACAAAAAGTAAACAAAAGGCATTAGAAATTGTAATACAGTTCAGAGACAGCAATTGCACTCTATCCCAAATGCCAGCTCTAAATGAATGATGCCTGAAACACAGTTACTAAGAAAAAGTCTGGCCATTCTAGGCTGTCAGCAGATAGCCATAAAAAGAAAGCAGTGGCAAGCACATCACAGTAACAATTCAGAAAAGTTACAACACATTGCAAAGTATTCAGAGGTATGGCTCTCCCCTCCTAAGGTTTTTTGTTGTTCTGTTTTGGTAAAAACAGTAGATGGGGGGGCTGGGGATTTAGCTCAGCGGCAAAGCGCCTGCCTGGCAAGCGCAAGGTCGTGAGTTCGGTTCCCGGTACCGGAGAAAAACCAAAAAAAAAAAAAACAGTAGATGGGGAACTCCTTAATCAGTAAGAGCTAAATTTCAGAGCTACCAAAGTATATTAGACAGTATTATTTCTGCACAGAGGAAAATAATACTGTTGTAATGCAAGGTTTTTTTTTCTAAAGGCACAATCTTTCTGAAAATAGACAACTATACATAAACTCAATTAAGAACATTTTAAAAACTTTATTCAGCATGTTCCTTTTTTCCAGGGGGACTGAGGAAGATGTTATAATAGCATAATTAACTGGTATTAAATTCAATTCAGTTTATTTAAATCATTAATTGCTTTAAATACTTTTGTGATTTTAATCCCAATCAAATTAAACATAACTAGAAAGCAGAGGTGGAGTTCTAGAAAGCAACTACACAGAAACTGTGGTCAGAGAGGAAAATTATAATTCTATTTAAAATTAAAATATTTCCATAGTTCAGAACCTAATTTTCAGTTTAAAAGTTATCTGCATGATCTAATCCTACTAAATTTCTAAACAGATTGTCAAAAAGAACACCAACATTCATCTACTTTTCTACTGCAAAATTCATATATCTAATTCACTTACCAAGCAAACTGTACATAAATGTAATTATTATAACAATTATTAGTAAAGCACAAATGCTAATCATTAGATAAGTACTATTACATTAAACTAATTTTATCCTAATCAAAAGTTTGTTACACTTCCAGAGAACATTCATTCAAATGATTTATGCTTTTTAAAATACTGAAAACAATGTTTCAAAAAACTTTTACCGAGCAGGGGATATATATAGCTCAGTGATATTAAGTGCGTGCCTGGCAAGCACAAGGTCCTAAGTTCGATTCCCAGTATCAAAAAAAAAACCCCCCAAAACAAACAAACAAACAAAAAACCAAAACTTTTATCTTTATGATCAGCAGACTGAGAATGAATAGAAAGGGTTAACATTAAGATATGATCATAGCAGCAAATATGATCTCAATATACATATGTACTGATTTATTTTACTTTTAAGATGCACTAAAATAATTTCCTTCAAAATTATTTTAAAATGCCATACTTTGTCATTAATAAAAATATTATGATGTTACTGCTTTTTATTTTCCTTAAATACTGTATAACAGATTCTCCCTATTCCCTCAAGGATAAAATCAACCAAGGGTGTCAGTGCAGCAACTACAGTCACTAGTCTTATGGGACTGTTACCAAGCTTTAAAACTTCAATCCCAGTAAATACTGCATTCACAGAGACACATAAAAAATACAGTCATGAAGCTGGAGAAATGTAAGCATACAGGGAATTAAAAACCTTGTTTAACAATGAAAACCCTTTCTGATAGGCTAATACTAAAAGTCATAGTTATGTTATTCTTTTATGTAAGGCTATATTAAAAGACAAACTTGGATATCCATGCAGAACACTCACTGATTTTTAAATCTCTGATATGATGAGGTATATCTTAAGACTATAAGGCACATATGTCTAAAACTTATATAAAACATTTTGCATTTAGTTTACCACAAGATATTAAGAGAGTAGAATTTTCACAAATGTACAAAGCAATTATAGAATTCACTAAACTGTTTAAGGATTATTAGTAGTAAATATTTTTTATTTTAACTAAGTTACTTCCCTGACTCCTACCGCTTTCAGAAATCACAGGCCAAGCCAGGCACAAAACGGCAGAAAAGATCACAGTACCTCTGTCAAGTATTCAGATGAGCCAGACACTGGGTAGGCTTTGGTAACAAACTTTGCCACCGAAGGCATGTTGATAAAACCTTTCCAGATGAAGTTCAAACGAGCCAGGAAGGTAGACTCAACTTCAACAGTTCCAGGCATCTCTGGACTAGAAAATGTTATTATAAAGTTAGCAGCCTAAACATACATGAGAAATCCATTTTTCACTTAGTCATTAATTAAAGTCAAATTTAAAGCCATCTTCTGTCTGCCTTACACAAACCAAGCACCAGAGATATGCAAGCAATTTTTCTCTAATAACCTAGACCCCGGCTCTTAGGACAACCAAAATGAAAGTCAAGTGCCCACACTGAAATCTCTCACTCTATAACCACTTAAAATTAACTTTCAGTCTCTTATTTCCACTAGCTTAGAGTATAGGAAAATACAGTAACTTTCTCAAAAGAAAAGTTATTAAAAAATGTCACTTTATTGTTTTCAAAGTCTTCCAAGTGTAATTTAGTAAAAATCTGTAATTATTATAAAAAGTATAACAGAGAAAACCACCGTGGAGCAGGAGAAAATGCTGATTTTGGAGACTCTTGTTTGTCCTCTTCAAAAAATTCAGAAGCCAAAATATTTGAAGTTGAAGACAATGCATCTGCTATACTTTCTGCTTCATTGTCTGAATGTTTCCGAGCTACTCCAACAACAACTTTGACTTTTTTTGGAGAAAGGTCATCTACAGGAGGTGCCATTCGACCTAAAGTCAGAAGACACCCAAATAAATTACTGTTGTTAACTGCAGTTTTTATAACAGTCCATCTTGAGAACATAAAACAGGTTTCTTGATTTAAATTCTTACCTAAAGTACAACAAAATCCAGTAATATCAAGAAGTATTTGTAGCACTCAGTAAAATACATCTGTGCCCTACTTGGCACTGTATACAGCAGCAGTTTTTGAGTGTACATACACAGCGTAGTGCCACTTACGTACTAAGACATAAAAACCATTCGTTTTTATTTTACAGTGCTGGTCACTACTTATTAAACTGATTTCGCTGCTTGTAACTGAGTCACAGTCTGAAGTTTAAACAGTAATAACTATGAACAAATCATGTCCGCCTCTGCTTTTCCTGAATTCAACTCAAGCTCATATGATTCCCAATATCGAGAATGTGCTAGCCTTCTCTCTTTGCAGGAACATCTCTCAACTTCTCACATCTTTGTTCCAATGTTAATTCTTCACACAAGCTCCTCACACACCAGTGTAGGCGAGGTCTTCCTGTCAAACACACTTACGACAAGTGTACTTGAGTAACTGGTATCTGACTGTCTTTACCTCTTAAAGCCCAGAAAACATCCGACCTTTTTACCAATGTACTCCTTGCCCTCAGCAACGTACCTGACAAGAACAACTCACCAAATGTTCATTGAATGAATAATCAAAATAAGAATACACACAAAAATGTAATTCTGAGCAGAAGATCCATTGTAAACAACACAGTATTGAAGGATGAACTCAGAGGACTGACACTACCCAGCTTCAAGACTTACTACGAAGTACAGTAATCAAAACACTGTGGCACTGGAAAGAGTAGACAAACACAAATGGAGCAGAATAGAGGGCCTCCATCACATATAATTAATTGAATTTGATTTTCAACCAGTAAGCAATACAATGGAGCAAAAAGTCTTTTCAAATTATGCTGAAACTAGACATACACATGCAAACACACACACACATATACATACCAGAAGATTCATCTAAACCTTTCACTTGTCACAAAAATTAACTCAAAATGGACTGGAAACCTAAATGTGCAACACACAACTATAAAACTTATGAAAGATAACACAGCAGTGGATGCAGATGAGCTTGGACATGGCAATGAAAGGAAAGCCCAAAGGTGTCATCTCTGAGAGAACGAGTGGATAAGCTAGACTGTCAGAATGAAACACTTCCCCTTTGTAAAAAATAATGTCAAGAAAATGAGATACAAGCCATCCACTGTGAGAAAATATTTGCAAAAGATATATCTGACAGGATAGTATCCAAAATACACAAAAACTCTTAAAACAACCAACCCAGTTAGCAGGCAAAAGATCTAAACAGACACCTAACCGAAGACATTACAACTGGCAAATAGGCATATGAAAAGATGCCGAACATCACATCATTAGAGACTCATGAATTAAACAAGATACCACTACCTACCTACTACAATGCCCTAATCCTAAACACTGACATCAGCAAATGCTGGTGAGGATACAGGCCATAAGGAAATCTCACTTACACTTGTGGGAATGCAAAACAGTACAACCACTTTGGAAGACTGTAAATCAGTTTCTTACAAAAATTCAAGAAATCTCACCTGGTTATAGCAGTTTTATTTATATGTACCAACTAGTATGTCCCTTAGTAAATTAAGGGATAAAATAAACTGTGGTACATCCAAACAATGGAGTATCAGTCAGTACTAAAAAGAACTGAGCTATGAAGTCATGAAAGGAAACTGAGGATCCTGAAATGGATATTAAATGATCTGACTCTGGCAAGGGTTGGGAGGTAAAGGTGACATATAATACAATTAATTCTAAATATTAAGCTATACTACTGCATCAAAATATACCTCAACACTGAAAAAGAAAGTCACACAAAAATGTGCTGCTGCTCAAAAACAGTAGGTGAGCGCTGCACTACCAAAACTAGAAAAACAAAAACTGCTTAAATTACAAATATTAGTATCGAAGTACCCCTCTTCAACAATGAATGCAACACTCTAGGAAGACAATTTTCTAATTACCTATGCAGATTTTGCAGTTAAGATCAAAAAGATGCTGTCTGTGTTGACTAGTAGTGTCTTTAGACATGGAGTCATTCTCTTCTTTTTGTTTTTCAGATCCTTCTGGCTTCTCCAATGACTTACTGGCTGTAGGTTCCTAATGTAAAGTGAGAGTAAGAGTTAGTCTGGGCTAGTACAATTTCGCTTCAGTTATAAAAATCAAGTTATATTTTACACTAATATTTTCTCAAAATATAATTATTATATTCACAGGTTGCTTTTACTATTTTTTAAAAACTATTACTACTCAAAAGAGAGCGAAAAACAAAAAGCACAATTTCTCATTCTTGAAAGCTTTCAATAAGATTTCAAATCATCCCCTCATTGCATTAGCTCTCAACTACAGTCCTGCGATCCTCAACCTTTCTGGCACCAGGGGCTGTTCAGCAGAAGACAATTTTTCCATGGCCCATGCAGTGAGGGTGGAGGTAGGGGATAGATACCACGAATGCCCAGTACAGTATGACTCTGGTTCCTATAAGAATCTAATGCCCTATTCATGTGACAGCAGGCAAAGCTCAGGCGGGTAGCAAAAGGATGCTTTGCTGGCTCACAGCACACACACCAATGTCAGTTCAAGGCCTGGGGTCACAGAATTCTACATAGTCTCTTTCAAGAAGCACTTAAAGCTGGGCATCATGGTGCACACCTGTAATCCTAGCACTTGGGAGGCTGAGGCAGGAGGATCACTGTGAGTTCGAGGCCACCTTGGGCTACACAGTGAGTTCAAGATCAGCCTGAACTACACAGTGAATCCCTGTCTCAACAAAACAAACAACAGAAAGAACTACCTACAGATTCTTAAGCCTTTTATGGAATTATATTACTATCTCATGAATCTACACTAACATTTTTTAATCAGGTACATATATAGCAGATAATCTCTATTCTAAAACAATACTCAACAACATCAACCTCGAAAGACATTAAATCACCAAACTACTTCAAAATAGACACTTTTTACAATTCTTCTTTCTCCTTTAAGACTGTAAGGCAAATGAATCTTTCCTGAACCCTGTTTTGAGCTGTCAAACATGACGCATCTATAATTTTTACCTGAATCTCCATGGCTGCTTCCTGTTCCTTCATTGGGGCATCGCTCTCAATTTCTATTTCACCCTTGTGAGTTATTTTTGTGATTGGTCGTCTTTCCACTTCTCTCTGCTCTTTCTCAATCATCTCTATCGTCTAAGAGAAAATTTTATAAAGATTAAATTTGAAGTATGTATTTCCAAATGTACACTTAAAATATGAAGAGCTTTTGTAAAAACACACGAATCATCCTCATACTTGATTTTGAACCGTTAGGTTCTCTCATACAAAAAAACATACAGAGTCTTTAAATTTGCCAGACTATTTCTTTAAAGTGCTCAGGTTCTGAGAATTAAGACTCCAGACGTCAGCAATGAGACCTTTACAAGTACACCATATCAAGAGGCAAAAGAAGTGCAATGATTTGAAAATTCATGAAACATGATTATTTACATTTGAAACCTGATTGCTGATTTAGTACTTTTTAGCAGCTGCCATGGGGAAATAAAAACCATCCTGCTCTTAGATCCTAACTTGATATTCTAACATCCTCCACAATGGTAATTTATTTAGAGACCAAAAATAATCAGGCAGTTCCTATTAGTGGTCCCCACACTGCACCTGTTTATTAACAGTGGTAATTCACAGCTTAACACGCTCAGCATCAAAACACAAACATTTAGCCAGGATGGCAATAAGTAGTAAAAGGCTGCTGGGAGGGAGCAGAGTGGAGAAAGAATCTTGCCTTCATTAAGTGCAAACCATCCTAAAGAAAGAGATCAGCTATGCGGCCCACAAACCAGCTCATCTCCAATACAAAGGACACGTGCAGCATAACACACATGTGCTTACTTTATATTTGGGATATGGAGTTTTAAAAAAGCAGCAGCAGTAAGAGTATTTTAAAAATAAAAGGAGAAATCACTTAAGATGAAGGTGAAGAAATATACACATAAATATGTATCAAATCAAGGCTTCTCATCCTTCAAACAAGAGTGGACATACATCTACATTCAGATTTAATGCCTCAGCAGCAAGTATTACAGGTAAAAGGTAAACCATGTAGAGCTAAAATGAATGATAACCATTATTTTCTGGAATACACAGGTAACATTCTGAAGCTACTGTAGTAAAAACACTGGATCACATGGCTCTCTCACTATAAAAATAGCTTTTAAATCACATATTAATGTCTCTTTAAAGGTACTTCACATTCACAATCCCTGAATGAAAACTCTTGGCACCTACATCAGATTTTTTTTTTTAAGTTTTAGAAATGCAGTTTATTATGCAATGTTCCAGTTAGATTTGAGACAGCATCATATAATTAAACATACAGTATTTCTGTGAATATGAACAATTACATGTGGAACTCATCAGATTTTATCAATAAATTAGAGGAAAAAAATCGTTTTGGAGCTTTTGTTACTTGAAATTTTAAATAAGGGATTACAAACTTGTACAAATTTTTATTTGGACTTACTTTACCTGCTTTTATGAATTACCAATATTCATAATACCTTCAGACTGTATTTATGAAAAATACATGGGATTAAGAAAAGGTTCACCTATTTTCCTATCCTGATTTGCAAAACATAGAGATGAGAATAGAATTTAAGAAAAAAACAACAGAATTTAAGAAACAGAGAGCACCAGTTGCACTGAAGTACACCAGTAGTGGGAGCTACTTGGCAGGCTGAGGCAAGAGAATCACTTGGGCCCAGGAGTCAAGGGACAGACTAGGCAATAAAATGAGACCCCCGAACTGGGGAGGGGAGGAACAGAAAGAGGAAGCCGCAGGGAGGAGAGAGGGGAGGGCGAGGAAGGAAGAGGAACAAATGATTTCATAGCAGAAAGTGTTACTGTGTAATGGGTAGTGATTTATCACTGTATAATTTTCCCCTATGACTAAAAAAAACAGCACAACCAAACACATATTGTAGATCTTCTTACATGTCTGTTTTCTCTGCGTCTCCAAGCAGCTAACTCCTTAGAAGCCAGTTCTTCTGAACTCATTTTTATAAGATGATCAGGGGTTACTTCTCCTTTCAATACTTTTTTAAACAATATCTGAAATGATATAAAAATGAGATAGGGAGACAAATATGTAAAAAAGAGGAGCTACAGTATACAAAGTTGTAATCAATAAAGACATAATTCTGACACTTCAGTTACAAATATTTAATGATTGATATATTACCTACTATACAGAGATTAAAGAGAGGTTTGAAATCCTAAGGCAACAAAACACACATTTCACATACAAATCAGCACAGTGGGGAAACATGCATAGTGGAACCTTAAATACCCATCCCAAATTACACTGTCTATCCAGGGGCCGGGCATGTGTCACAGGCCTGTAATCCCAGCACTCTGGGAGGCTGAGGCAGAAGAATACCAAATCTGACTTTAGTGAGACCCTGTCTCAAAATTTTAAAAGTTTTTTTAAAAGGGCAAAGCAATGTAGTTCATTGTGAACGCCCAGGGTTCAACCCCTAGTGGCACCGAAGTAAGTAAGTAAACAGTCCCCCCAGAAATAACATCTGTCATAACCAATCTGCAGCATGGCAAGGTACTACATAAAGATCTTTACTCGATGTAATCCTTCCATATTTTTAAGACATTACATGTTTAAATCCAGTCCTGTATTGGTCCAGAACAGAGAATCAACTTCAAGAAAAAAACTGAAGGTAAATAAGTACTTGTATAATTACTAAGGAAAAGTTACTGGATATAAAAAGTTCCTGGATATAATTACTAAGGAAAAGTGTACAATTCAAGAAATATCTAAAGCCAGGAATGGTGGTGCACACCTGTAATCCCAACATTCAGGAGGCTAAAATAGGAGGATCACTGTGAGTTTGAGGCCAGCCTGAGCTACATCGTAAGTTCAAGACCAACCTGAACTACATAGTGAGGCTCTATCTCAAAAAAACAAACAACAAAAAAGAAGTATCTAATTATGCTTGGACTGTGACAGTGGATTGTACAACATGGATTTTTGTTAAGTAGCTGTCTGAGTATTTCAAAAAAGTACTTCAGATCAGACATAGTTTTACTTAGTATCCACAGGGGTATTAGTTTCAGGACCCCCATGGAAACCAAATCGCTCAGATGCTTAAGTCTCATACAGAATAATGCACTATTTCTATGTATTTCTGCACATGCTCCCATACACAGTCCTGTGCTATGGAACACTTCGGTGAATAACGGACCACATATATGATGGTGGACTCAGAACATTCTATCACTAAGAGATAGGTAACATGTTCATGTAATCATACTCTGCGATGGTAAAAAAGCCTAACAATGAATTTTTGGAGTGTGTCCCTGTAGTTAAGGAACATAAAGCAGTTTAAGTCATCTCCAGGTTTACTTACGTAACACAATGTGAGTGCTATGTTCACAGTTGTTACACTGCACTACTAAGGGTAACTAGGAAACAAATCTGTATTCATGTTCCATACAGATGTAATTTTTTCAAGTTTTTCTGAAAAAGGGTCTCACTCTGCAGTTCAGGCTAGTCTCAAACTCACATAGTTCCTCCTGCCTTAGCCTCCCAAGTGCTGGGCTTATAGGCGTGCACCACCATGCCCAGCATTCAAGTATTTTTCATCTACTGTATGTGGAGGGTTAACTGGTCCGTAGGAAGTATCCCTATATAAATTTATGTAAAAACTTCATGTAAGAAGGTTACATTTAATTACTTTCCACAACCTGGAGTCATCTGTAGCAAAAATTACTGCTGGACCTAAACAAATCTAACACAAAAGAGATGACTTATGTTGAAATTCAGAAAATATTCAAGGGCATCACTGTGCTCAGTGTATTTGTCCAAAGTGAACCTGGAGCCTGGTATGCTGGCACTCCAGGAGGCTGAGACTGAAGGATCGTGAGTTGAGCCCAGCCTGGGCAACACATACTGAAACATGGTCTCAAAATTTAAAAAGGGATGAAGATATCACAGTGCAAAAGACCCAGGTTTCAACTCAAGTAAGTGGGGGGGGGGCCTACCTAGATTTCCTAATCCTCAAAAAATGAGAGGTTATATATATATTAATAACTCTACTACTAAAAGACAGAACTAAAGTTGTTTTAGTAAAAGTTTAAAAATCATCGGGGAGAGTTGTGTTTTGGTTGGGTTTTTCTGGTTTTTGTTGTTTTTTGTTTTGTTTCTGGTGAAACAGTATCCCTTCCTGCCCAAGCTGTTTTTGTTTCCAGGGATCAAGCAATTCTCCTGTCTCACTCTCCCAAATAGCTGAAATTACAGATGTATGCAACCAGACCTAGTTTTAGTTTTTGTTTTATTTTTAATCTAAATGTAATTTATGTAGCCAGGTGTGGTGGCGCACACCTGTAATCCCAGCACTCGGGAGGCTGAGGCAGAAAGACTGCTCCAAGTTTGAGGCTAGCTTGGGCTGTACAGTGAGTTCAAGGCCAACCTGAACTGAATTGCATAGCACAACCCTATCTCAAAAACAACAACAAAAATAAATAAATACATGTAATTTGTATTTTTAGAGAGTATAGTTCCCTTTTAGGCTTACATCAAAAGCAGTAACAAAGCTTTAATGAGGTTTAGCTTCATAGAGTTTGTAAAAAAAAATATATGAATGAACTTTTTAAATACTCTGCATTATACAAGGAAAAGTCAAGGAAAGAAAATTCACATACATCAGGGTAAGATGAGTAGTATTTGAATAGTATTATACAACGCTACTCATTACTATGCAGAACCCATCAATCAGTACCAACAATATTTTACTAGAAGCATGTAATCACGTTCTGAACTATGGATAAAGCTTAGTACATGTTTTGCAGGTGTGATGCCCTGGGTTCCATACCCAGCACCACACAGAACAAAGTATGTTCTAAACTAAGAGGTACACAAACTCTACAGTATTGTTCCAATTAATAAATTATGTACCTACATTATTACACGCTAAATCCCAAAACAGGAAAGTTGAAAGCATAAATAGACGTGAACAAACATACTCACATTGTTTTTAGGATCTTTCAGATTGAACATCAAACTTCTATATTTGTTCTTATATTTAGCATCTGTGTCCCGAAAAAAGGAGAAAAGCTCTTTTTCAATTTTTGTGGCAACCTTTGCTGCCTTTTCCTCTGGTACCTTCAAATTTGAGTCTGTCAGTCTTAAAACAGAACAGTCCAGTTATTTTTAGGGCACATGAAGCATGTTACTGAATCTTCTGCCATAACAATGTGTGTTACCTTTTCATAAGAATGTCTTTAAGAGAGTGTCTGACGCTCTGCCTGATTTGATCCGCAGAAGGCTTGGACGCTGCAGCAGCAGCAGGATGCACACTGGGCACTCCTTTCTCCACCCTCCTCTTCTTTATCTCTTGCTTCTCATGAGTACCTATTTGAACAATTATCATAACTTACTATACTGTTTTCAAAAACATGATTTATAACCAAAATTAACTGATAAGTCTCTATAATCCAGAGTCCTTACTGAAATCAGAATCTAGAATACACTGAAATATTCCTGACCCTGAAATGCTAATGAAAATGGTGATTAAACAGCTTTAAACTGGGCCGGGGATATAACTTAGTGCTATAGCCCTTGCCTAGTACGCAGGGCCTTAAGTTCCATTCCCAAAACTGCAAAATTAAAAAAAAGCTATAAACCATGCTTTTCCCCCAACTTAGGTAAGGGTTGCTCAGAGCTGCTTTTCATGCAGATATACTAATTAGCTGTATGTACATTTGAAAGCTATTTAGAAAATTTGATCTGAACTCATTAGGTGAACAGATCATTTAACGACCTTACAAACATAAAAACAGTAAGTTCTTTTTCTAGTTACATTTGGTATTAATTTGAATGCTAAGCTTGCCATTTGATTTTTCTATCATTACTAATTCCCACAACTCTCCTAAGTCTCAGCATCAAATATCACACTAAAGTATATAATGTCAGCTCAATTATTTTACAAACTCTCATTTCCACAAATTTTTGGTTTTGTCATTTTTTTAACTTCAATTATGCTTACTGGTACATTTTAGATATACATAATGACCATATTTATCACAGAGAATTTGTATTTGGAATGATGTATTTTGATTCCTTTCTTCCCAAATCCCCTTCCTTCAACCTTCTTCCCCTCCCCATTTACAAAGTTTTATTTCCAATTTTCCTTTTAATTGCTTTTTCTCATTTTCCCTTCTCCCTTTCCCTCTTCCTAGTTCCTCTTTCCTTTTCAAAAATTTCTTCCCACTTCACAACATCTACTGTACACTTTGGTCTTTATTTACTCTTTGTTCCTCACACCAGGGAGACAATGCATTATTTACACATGTAAGTCTGATTTACTTCACTTGGTCTCAAGTTGCACCCATTTCCCTAGAAATGTCTCAAATTTATCCTTCTTTATGGCTGAGTAGTTGTCTATTATATAAAAAGACCACCTTTTCAATCTATTCCTCGGTTGATGAGCATGTGGGTCGTTTCCAAGATTCAGCTATTACAAATTGTGCTGCTACAAACATGGGAGTGCATATATGTTATCATTAAATTCTTCCCTGAAGATACTCAGAAGGGAAATAGCTGGGTTGAATGGGACCGCTAATCCTAATTTACTGAGGAATCTCCAGACTGATTTCCACAGTGACTGCACCAGTCTACATTCCTACCAACTGTGAAGAAGGGTTCCTTTTTCCCCACAGCCCTCCAGCATTTGTTACTGATTTCTTGATAATAGCCGTTCTTTCTAGGGTGAGAAGGAATCTCAGCTTTGCATTTCTCAATGGACCAGTAATGTTAATTAAACGTGTTTTCTTATATTTATTTGCCATTTGTATTTCTTCATCTGAGAGGTGTGTATTCATCTCAGATGCCCATTTTTGGATTGGGTCTTTAAATTTAGGGAGTCTCATTTTTTTCAATTCTGTGTATGTTTTAGATATAAGTCCTTTGTCTAAGGGACAACTGGCTAAAATTTTTTCCCACTCTGTGGGTTGTCTTTTTACTCTGTTGCTGATTTCTTTTGCTGTGTAAAAGCTTATAATAGGATGAGATCCCAGTTGATTTTTACATCATTTCCCGTGCGATTAGGGTTTAAATTTAGTTTTAACTGATACATGAAAACATACATATTAATGAGTTACCATGTAATATTTTGGTACGTGCACACATTATATAATGTTTAAATCAGATTAAACATAGCTACCTCTTCCAACATTGTCCATTGGATAATGGTGAAAACATTCAAAATCCCTTCTGACTTTCTGAAAAATGTAAAACATTACTGCTGCTTACAATCCCCTCCTGCATAGTAGCACAGGCACCTTGTGCCTCTCTAACTACAACTCAGTGCCTATTAATCAGACTTCCCCATGTGTCCCCATACCCTACTCTCCTCAGCCTCTACAAATCAATATTCTAATCTCAACTTCTGTGTGAATCAACTTTTTTAGATTCCAAACATGGGTGAGACTGCATCCAATTCCACCCATGCTGTGGCAGACGACAGGACTGCATTCTTCCTCATGGCAGAACACCATTCAATTGTGTATATGTGCCACGTTTTCTTTGTTCACTCAACTGATGGACACTTCCATTTCTTAGCCAATGTGAATCTTGCCACCGTGAAGATGGGTATGCAGATGTCTCTTTAACATATGGACTTCATTTTCTTTGGATGTGTACCAGGAGTAGGACTGCTGGATCACATGGTAGCTCTACCATTTTCATAATGGCTGGGGTAAGATACGGTCCCACCAATGGGGTGCATATCCTATCCTCCATGCCCTCACCAGCAATTGTTACCTTCAGTCTTTCTCCCTGGGATGATGTGATAATCTCATTGTAGTTCTGATTTGCATTTGTCTGATGATTAGAGAAATATTAAGCATTTTTTTTCACGTACTTGTCACTCTAACAATTCTTAAGTCTATCATTTTTACTGTCTTCATGGCCTCACTTTCCCACAAAACCCAACATAAATTACATGGCACAACACTGCTACTACTCCCTTGTACATGCAGTACTTTTATTCTCTCTCCTTTAAACATCTCAGAATCCTGATGAAAGCCAATTTTTATTCTTCACACTCATAGGCTACAAACATCTAAAAATAACTGCAGGTAAATAAGCACTGGCACTTACAGATCTCATTTTAAATTTATAAGCACAAACACCAAGTAACTAACTCAACCTTCGGCCCCATTAAAATTTCCCAACAAACCTGCTCCCTCACTTTTCAAACCATCTATTTCACTTTTTTCTCTCTTCTCAAGCCATTAACAGTTGCTTCCCACCTTCACCCTCATTTGATTTGCTCACTCGTATCTCACTGAAGAAATAGCAAATGCCAGGTAACACACCTTCCCATCAGCAAAGCGACCCTCCTGCATCAATCTTCATCTATCTGACCACATCCAATACTCCCTACTACAGAATGAACATCACTAAACCCAAAATTCCAAGTCTGAAAATTTTTAATATGTACAAGATGCTCAAAAACTTTCAAATTTTGGCCAGAGCAGTAAGACAAAAGGAAGAAATAAACGGCATCCAAATTAGAAAGAAGGTCAGTGGACTTTTATACATTAAAAAAACCTCAAGGTTTATTAATTTTTTGTTTGTTTTTGTTTGTTTTTTTCCGGTACCAAGAATGAACTCACAACCTCACACTTGCCGGGCAGGCACTGTGCTGCTGAACTAAATCCCCAGCCCCTCAAGATTTATTTTAACTAGAAACCTCTTAGAATGATAAATGAGTCAATATGGTTGCAGACTGTAAAAGCAATATAAAAAAATCTATAGCTTTTTATGAAATGAAAATTTTATGAAATGAAATTGCTGCAAAGTCAAGAAAACAATTCCATCTCAATGGCTACAAAAATAGTAATTACCCAGACTGAAGCTACCTACCAATGCAGTGAATGATCTCTGTAACAAAAAGTATAAAACACTGGTGAAACAAATTGAAGACCCACAAAACCCACATATTCATGAACTGAAATAGTTAAATGTCCATGTCCAAAACAGTCTAGAGATTCAATATAAAACTTAACAACATGAGTAACATTCTCCATAAAAATCAAACAGAACACTTCTACAAAAGATTCCCAAAGAGCCAAAGCAATCCTGAGCAGAAACCAAAGCTGAAGGCATTAAAGTATCTGACTTCAAGATACACAAGAGTCACAGTAACCAAAACAGCATGGTAATGGCATAAAAAGGGACATGCAAACTAATGAAATAGTACAGACAATCCAAAAATGATTTTTTTTGAGCCACACTCTTGGTTATGCTATTCAGGCTGGCCTTGAACTACACTGCCCAGGCTAGTCTTGTCTTGAACTTGTGGTGGTCCTCCTGCCTCAGCCTCCCAAATGCTGGGATTACAAGTGTGTACCACCATGTCCAGCCTACAACCAACTGCTTTTTCACAGAGGCAATCAAGAACTTAGGCTCTTCAATTAGTGGTTCTTGGAAAACACACATGCCATAATATCTTCTTTAACAGATTCCTTCACTATACATTCCCCTAGTAATGCAATATTCCACATACCATTTCTGTTGCCTTATACAGCAAAACTTCTGAAGAGTTATCCGTAATAAACACGTTCAGTTCCTTACCTTTACATTCTTCTATAAATTACAGTTGGTTTTTGTCCCTACTGCTCCACTAAAGCCATTCTAGTCATCAGTGAATGATCTGTTTTGTATTCTTTTTTTTTTCTTGAGACAAGGTGTAGCTATGCAGCCCAGGCTGACCTTAAACTCCTGGCAATCCTCCTGCCCCAAGTGTTGGGATTACACGTGTGCATGACCATGCCGGGCAATTATCTCTATTTTACTAAGTCACATATTTCATAGTACTCATTTTATTAGACATCAAGATATACTGAAGAAGTTTCCCTTGGGTTTGGACTGCCCTGGTCTTTCGGTTCTCCTCTTCCCTAACAGGCTACTTCACCTCTTTTGTCAGCTCCAGACTCATCACCCAAAGGTGTACCCAAGTATTTCCACCTGGATGTCTAACAAAATTGTAATGACCAGATTTTTCAGTTTTCCTCCCCTAATGTTTTTCTCAATAAATGACACCAACATTTTACACAGATATCCTCCAAGATTCTTTCATCTACTTATATCTAGTCTAAGAGCAAGTCCTATCAACTCTGCTATAAAAGCTATCTTAACCAAGCTACTTCTCACTACCTCCACTGCACAGCTGTCACCTGCCACCACCATTTTTTGCAGAGGACACTGGTTAAGAACTCAGTTCTATGCTTTTTCTCCTGCCTCCTACAGGTTAATATTCAGAGCAACAGAGGGATCCATCACTGTGTAAAACTCTCTGAAGCTTTCCCTTAATATTCACAATAAATCTCTTCTCTAACTCCTTTTCTGATATTCTCATAAATTATGTTCCAATCCCTTCACATTGACTTCCTTCAATAAATGCCAAGCTTGTATCTACCTCAAAGTTTACATTTACTGTGTCCCTCACCTATGTCCTCCTCCAAAAAATCTGCATCCTTTCAAATTTCACAATTACTACCTCTATCTATGGGGGTTTTTTTGGTACGGAATTGAACTCAGGACCTTGTGCTTGCCAGGCAGGCAGACTACCTCTATCTAAAACAGAACTTCCACCTCTCACCCTCACTGTGGCTCTCTAACCCATTACAGTACTTTTCCGTCATAGTCTCTAAAGTAATGTACCATTTGCTTACTTTTCAACTTACTGCTTGCCTTCTCTCAGAAGTACCTAGTGATGTTAAGGCAAGAGGCACAGGTTCACCACTACTTCCTCAGATTTCAGAGTAATTCTTTCTAGTCACAATATAACCAAACATCTAAAATACTGTGTCATTAAAATGTTAATGCAAAAAATTTCCCAAAATACAGTAAGTCCCCTGACTTGCAAACATTCAAGTTGTGAGCTTTCACAGGTGTACTGCGTAATATTCATAGGTGTACTGTGCAACTCACTTTGTTACACTATGAACCAATTCAACTTACAAACATTCTCCCAGTATGGAACTCACTCATAAGCCAGGGACTTACTGTAAACTAACTGTGTGTGAAACAAGATATAAGTAAGTTAGTACATAACAATTTCTATTAATCTCACTGCCTGGTTTTGAAGGTGTGCAAATAATATTTGTAGCCTCTTTTGGCATTTTTTCACTTTTTTCTTCTGAGGATCTCCGAGGTAAAACTGTTTGTCCCATCTTTCGAAGAGGAGCTAGCTGCCATTTTTTTATTTCATTATCTCTATAATCTGATGAATTTCTGCCTTCAGGAGATTCCTGGAAAAACAATACATAATTTGTTAACATTAGAAACTACTAAAAAATCTTTAAATATAAAACAAGCATCAAAAAAAAAAAAAAAAAGAAAAGAAATAAAACAAACGTCAGTAACACATGGATGGCATGATGGTGCAGGCCAGTAACCCTAGCATTCAAGAGGCTGAAGCAGAAGGAATGTCATGAGTTTGAGTCTAGCCTGAACTACAGAGTACAAAGGCCATTCTGAATTACGGAGCAAGAGTCTACCTCAAAAAACTCAAAAAAGTACATAAATAAAAAAATTTAAACCAAATTAGTATTTCAACATATGAAGAAAGCAAATAATCTTAGCCAATTAAACATTTACAGTTTTTTAAAAGATATACAAAACTAGGTCATATTAGTAAAAAGATTTATTCTCACTCGAAATCTACTTGATAAGCATCTATTTTCTGCAGAACATGCAACAGCCTATAAAGGAGGAGAAAAACAACATAGAACTCATATTCCCAAAAGTGTTAGTAAAAAGAAAACTCGGTATGAGGCAATAAACAGTTCTTAGTTGGCTGCAGATACAGAAAAAGAAATTGTGGGGAAATAAGCATTTGTATTTTTCAATGTACCTGTAAAGCAAACGAGGTCACACTTGCAATAGGTTTATCAGTGAAGTTCCCAGTGTGTTTAAACACTGTCAGGTAGAATAAGCCATCAATATTTACTTGTAACTCTGACCCTAAATATACACAGTGGTTCCTCGGTTCACGAACTCAACTCTCTCCACAGTTCTGGTTGCAAACTGAACTAAGAACTGATTTAAATTTCCCCATAACGTCAACACTTAACCTAACCATTGAATTTGATTTGGTTCTCATCCAACTCAGTGGTTTGCAACCAGACTCGTGGAAAGAATCAAGTTTGTACAACAAGGCTGTACTAGCAAAACTAGACTCCTGATACTTGAGAGACATCATATCAATGTCCTTGAAAGACAAAAGGAAGAATACTGTACATAGACATAATCACTCAGTTTCAAGACAGAGTTATATACTGCTTTTCTCTACAATAGAAATCATATAATTGTCTCTTAACATGTTTATTTTTAACCTCTCCAACTAAACTTCCTTCAGTGCAGGAACACATTCAATGTATTGTACCATGCTCAACACGCAACAGAAACTCAATAAATGGCTTGACATAAACATGCAAGGATAAAAAGTGACATATGGAAAGCATTCTTCATAAACTAACATCAGAAAGATGCAAAGACTCAATAGTTCACCATAAAAAGAAAAAGAGGTAATGATCACTTGGAAGGTACATACATTTATCAAAGCAGACTAATTTCCTTTTTGATCTAGATACTGGATAAAGAAATTTCTCAAAATATTAACAATATTAACGTCTTATAATGTCTTTTCAGGCAAAGACAAACAACTCATTATAAAGCTTTGGGGTGTAGCATTCCTGGGTTCTATTTTTTTTTTTTTTTTTTTGGCACCAGAAATCGAAGTCAGGACCCTGCACTTGCCAGGCAGGCATTTGTGCCACTGAGCTACATCCCCGGCAAACGATTCATTATAATACAATGTATTTTTAAATGGTGATGAAATTATATATAAGAGGCAATGACTAAGAGTTAACGATCCATACAAGTTTCCCAAAGACCTGACATAAACTGTTCTTAATAGAGCTCTCAGGTCCTTATTACCAATTACTTTCACGCTAGCCAAATCAGCAAAGCAACAAAAAGTTATCAGAAGGATACAATCTGATTTTTTTTTTGGTCTTTTTGAGACAGGGTCTCACTATGTGGCTCAGGCTGGCCTTGAACTCACTTTGTAGCCCAGATTGGTCTCAAACCAATCCTCCCGTCTCAGCCTCCCAAGGGCTGGGTAGAACCTGATTTTTGAAAAGCCTTGTTGAGCAGAAAATGCTGTATGCTGTCAGAATTTAGCAACCTGAAGCTTAATCCACATTTGTCACATAAGGAAAATCTGAAAGAATTAAATACGTAAACAATGGAGAAAACAACCTCATGTTTCTTCTTTTTTTTTTCACTATGCAGCTCAAGCTGGCCTAGAACTTGCAGCGATCCTCCCACCCCAACCTTCCGTGTGCTCTAACCTCATCCTTCTCTATCTGAACGAACTACCTTTACCATATAGAAAAATTAGCTTTAGTAATAGGGAGGCTTCAGAAAACTACACCTTTTCAGGGATGCAATTTTTAATTCAAAGTGAAAAACTGTTGAACAATCAGATTTACTTAAAGTGAAAATGCATTCTGTCACACTTTTTTTCAAATGAGAATTAGTACTTCTCTTTCTAGGAATGCTGTAGAGCATAGTAACAAATCAATGTTTTGATTAAAACAATTCTATGGCTTCTTCCCAACTCTAAATTTATGCTGTCTCTTGGATCATTATACTTGTCTATTTTTATACATTTCTTCCCACTGTGTTTCCTCCCCAGCAGGACTCTATAACCAATCAAGGGTTAGAAAAAGCACAGGTTATAAAAAGGAATAAAGAAAATTTGGTCAGATCAAATGGAGTGTCCTTTACACAGTCCTCTTATTAAAGACTACCATAAAATGTATTCCTCTTTCGTATACGTGTGAGGATGCTAAGGAGTAAAGCCATTGCCTTGCACATGCCATGATCAGCACTCTACCACTAAACTACATCCCTGCCCCTGAACTCTTTTAAAAATATTTTCAGAATAGTTAAAATACAAATTTACCACAGAAAATTGAAAACCTTCTATAACTTCACGTTTTTAAGAGAAAATATGGAAAGTTGCAAGAAAATATGGAAAGGATAAAAAAATTACTTTCCTTACCAAAAAAACCAACACAATAACAAAAACTCTTCCAACTTGAAAATAACACTGCCGAATGGTGAAAGGCTTGGTAGGTATTTACAGTCTAAAGTTTTTGTTTGCAGCACTGGAGCCAAAGCTAAGTCCTTCTTGTTGAGCTACGCACACAGACATTTTTCTAATTTCTTATCTTTGAGACAGGGTCGAAGTCACTAACTTGCCCAGGCTGAGTTGAAACTTGCAGCCTTCCTGCCTCAGTATCCCAGAGTGTTAGGATTACAGGCCAAGTGAAAAGCCTTTTTAAAGATATTTAGCAAGCACAACTTTTATCTAAGGCCACAAGCATACACGCATACACACACACACACACACACAACCTTATCTCAGAAAATTGAAGTACCAAATTATAGCCTAAAATAGGCATAAAACATGATAGGAAATAAGAGTTTCATGATCTGAATATGTCACTATCTGGTTTCACTCAGAATGGTAAACAAACCTTACAAAAAACTCAAAACATCTCTACAAAAAAAAAATTTTTAAACATATATCAGCACACTGAAATCTAAAAAAGAAATTTCAGAATTGTCATGGTTCATACAAAAGTCTAAATAACAAAATGTAATTAATGGAAAGCATACCCGTTTTAAAATTTTGACCTTGTGCTTCACTGTATCATCTGTACATTTGGTTTTGTTATTTGTTGTCATGTGCTTTGATAATCCGAGTTTCTCACATTCCATTTTTTTATCTTCACTATGAACTTCAACTGTACCTTGATTTTCAAAATAATCTGTGTCTAAACTTTCAGTCTTTTTATCTTCTTCAGCACAACATTTTACACACACATATTCTTTATCTTCCTCTCCCATCTGCTGTGCTTGAGAAAGACTCAATCCAACACAATCACCATGAAACCAGTCATCACATCTCCCACAGCCAACCATGAACCTAAGAAAAACAAAAGTGGAAATGGGTATCTTTAAAAACTGTTAAAAGTGAAACTAAATTTTCAATGTGATTCTGTTATTTTGCATGTTTCTATCTCTCCCCATTCCGTAAGTTCAACACGGAGCAGCACTCAAGGCATATTCTATGAAAATGGAATCTTAAGACTTCGTCAGTCTTGCATGCCTCTATCTGGTAATCTCAGCAACTACTTTGAAGGTAACAATATGCAATATAATAACCATTATTAATTTCCTACCATCTTGTTTTGAAATTGTGTATCTTTTTTTTAAAACATCTTTAAAGTTAAAAAAAAAAAAACAAGTATTTCCCCTCTGGTACAAGTGAGAAAGTACTTGTGGGAGGTGTAGAACACCAAAGACAGATCATTGGAAATATACTGTATAAAACAAAGTGTAAGTTCTCTTCAATGAGTGGTAATTTCCTATCTGTCCTAATTTCATCACCATGAATCCTAGTCATACCTGTAACACCTAAGATCTGAAACCTCACAACTGCAAAAAAACTCTTCATGCAAGTCTGTCACATGACAAAAAGCAAGCAGCAATACATCAAAAACTTATCAGTCTCTAAAACTGTTTATTAACCACTTTAAGCTCAAATTAGAGAGGCACATGATTCCACTGAACAATCTTCTTATGCAGTTTTGGGGATGAAGGCCGTTCTTATTGAAGTCCAATGTGTTTTGGATAATTGCCTGAGTGCTGTTTCCCCTTCACTACATTTTAACTAAGGAATAGCCTAAGTGCAGAACAAGATTTGTGGTTCTAAGAAAGCTTTTAGTAACCTAATACTGACAACTTGGTTAACTTTTAAATAAAGTCTCAAGACATATAAACAATAACTTAGGGAAAAATTATCCCTTTACATACTCCTTAATCGATTAAGCTATACTTCACATACTCATGTTTAGTATTTTTTGTTGTTGTTCTTCAGGCCAGTAATTCATGTTTGAATGCATAATTCAAGTACGTTCTTTAAACACGTAGGATTTTGAGCTACTGATTCTCCTAGTAGAGGCCCACCAGTCTCAAATGCCTCTGAAAAATTTTAGTGCAATAGGAAGGGTGCTAAAAGTAGTAAGTGTGTGATATGGCTAACTCGCTCTAAATACAGCAGAGCTCCTGTTATGTTAGAACTACAACAACCAGAACACTATCCTTACAAAGTACTCTAAAGCCATGCCTCTAAAGCAGCGCTTCTGCTCTTCCTGCTTTTCCACTGTGCCAGATTACTGCGGTGCTCTAAGGCTTCTTCATGTCTTCAATTAAACATTTTTAACCCTCACTAGTGATGCTTTGCTAGCTTTATCCTTTACTCATCTTTCCAACAGCGAATTTGGTTTGAAAAATAAAGATACAAAATGTTTGGATTCACAAGTCCAATTAAGAATGTAGTATTTAAGACAAAGCTTCTCGAGGCTCCAGAATTTTGATGGCTTCATAATGCTTCAATTCAAATTTTCCAGACAAGAAACATGTTTTAAATACAGCTGCTTTACTGTTCTTCCATTTCAGGTTGTAAAGTTAAAAGAAATATTTCTTGAAAGCAGTCATCTAATATGAATAGTTTTGAGATAATGAGGAAAAAAGCAAATGGCGATATCCCTCTACTCCCACAATCAAAATTCTATCGTGAGCTAGCCGGGCGTGGTGGCGCACACCTGTAATCCCAGCACTCGGGAGGCTGAGGCAGGAGGATTGTAGCGAGTTCGAAGCCAGCCTGGGCTACAAAGTGAGCTCAAGGCCAGCCTGAACTGCATGGCGAGACCCTGTCTCAAAAAGAAAAAAAAAAAAATTCTATCGTGAGTTCTTCCAAGTCAGTCTGGAATGGTTTCAGTAAAAACCCAGACCATGCTGCTGTCCCAAACCCAATTCTCAATTCAAATTACAAAGCAAAAAGTGTTTCCAAACTTTTATTTTACTTAATTCTTCTGACCATAAAATGTATCAATTATTACACCATGGTTTGTTCAAAGATTTTTCTGGAAATGTCCCACTCATACTTGAGAGGCCTGAAAAGCAAACCTGTCAACTATCAAAATAACACTGGGTTTAATGTAAAACAGTGCAATTAAATAAACTTGAGAAATCAGGAAAAATGACAATGACTGTATCCTATAGGAAAGTAAAATTCACTTTCAAACAGAACAGATTACCCAAAAATGTAAATGCTGATCATTTTTCAGTCTAATAGTGGGAAGCACCCTGAACTTTTTCGGCCGTTTAGAAAAAAGAAAAAAGATGGCTTCACACATACAATGTACTTTTTCTTTTAAGGTGCTACTCTACTTTAAAAACTGTGAGAAATGGGGGGAAGCACATAGTAGGGAGACAACTGCAGCCGTGGGAGTTAGCTTACAATTACCTCTCATTTCTGATTCTGTATTACCAAGAAAGGAACTCAGTTTATGGAAAATACCGTAACCTACAGAGTAAATTTGACTACAAATGAATGCTATGTGGTGTTTAGCTCTGGGTCAGTTAACAAGAGTGCAGCAATACTTGTGTTGTCTTCTCTTCTATTTTCACATACAGTTCAAAACAAAAAATTAAAATAGATCTACTATAAAACAATTTAAAAACCGATTTAAAATTCTAGTCCATATTCTTTTTTTTTTTTTTGCTTTTTCTCCGGTACCGGGAACTGAACTCACGACCTTGCACTTGCCAGGCAGGCGCTTTGCCGCTGAACTAAATCCCCAGCCCCCTAGTCCATATTCTTTTTAGTAAGAGCCAAACACATGCTTGGAAAATTTTCAGTTTTTTCAAAGTAAACTACAGAGGCAACTCAAAGACTGATCATAACAAATGTATGTCAAGAACTGACACTGTAGGTGTTACAGAAGAAGGGTCTGTAAGTGACAGCTCGAGACCGTGTGACTGGGACTATGTATGCCCTCACTACATCAAAGATGTAAGGATTCTAGTCAACATTAAAAGGTTATTCATAATTTAATCTGCAGAGAAAATTATTTATAAAATGCTGAGAAGCAAAAACCATTTATTCTAGAAATAAATTTCCTTTTGTGAAAGTCTTGTTTGAGTGTCTAAAACAACCCATTTTGCTGAGGTTTTGTGTTTAAAATGTCAACCAGTCTACAACCTGGTCCGAAAAAGCACAATGCAAACTGAAGACACAAGTATCTTTTGGAAAAAAACAGAAAACCACACAGTAGATAACATGAAAAGACTAAGACTTGTTCCTTTCAAAATGCCAAATATGTTGAAAAGTTTAAAAGTCATTTTTAAAAAAATAAACACAACAGGCTACTTTTTAAAATAATATGTGTTTGGAGTAATGTGAATCAGGAAAATGTAATGAAAACAATAGCACAGTAAAGAATTGGTATCCACTGTCTGATTATACAGAATCTGCTTATTGTTAAATACTGCATCTGGTTACACTAGGAGCACCTGTATTACAAAATATAATTCCCAACTGGATGCTGAAGGAAACTAATCCCAGTTGCAAAATGTGTAAGATACTAGAGTTTAAACAGTCTTTACAGGAGCAAAGCTGTCACAAGTGCTAGAAAATGGTACATTTATTGTATTAACAACCTTCAATGTGATTAGTGCATCAAATAAGAGGATTAAAATTATCTCCCTTTGTTTTGCTAATAAATTTATGTCCTCACATGTGGATTAAAATAGGAAAAGTATATATTGTGTAAAAGGTACATTTTTCGAGTAAATTCAATATATGCAAATGCAGTATGAAGCAGCAGTGAAGACTAGTTAGCATTAATCACTCAAGCTTCTTTATTGACAACAGTGAAGTAATCTGAACAGTTCTTCCGAAACTGCTCCCAGTCAGTTTGTTCTCCAGACTCTACACATCTAACAGTCTAAGTCACTGTCCAGACTTGGAGCAGTGAAACTAGCTTTTATAGAGAAGGTCCTAAAGGTGGCATTAGGTTATAAAAAATTTTTTTAAATGAAACTAATACCTAACACCTGACTTTACAGAACTGCTGAAGTTGATGAAGTGATATCCCATCATTAAAAAATCTGGTGCACACCTATAATCCCAGCACTGGGGACACTGAGGCAGGAGGATCCCAGCAAGCTCAAGGCCACCCTGGACCACACAGTGAGACTATGTCTCCAAAAAAAAAAAAAAAGAAGGAAAAAAGTCGGCAAATTCACTAAGACCGGTCCATAGGAACACTACTGCATCTACAAAAGGCTACAGCGTAACATAGTTGATAGTGTTTCCACTTTTCTAACCACTTCAGTAAGATGTTTACAAAACTACAGCAGACAGGAAGTGGCTGGCTTTTATTAAAAGGGCACTTAATAGCACCAAACTTTAATTGTTAGGTCTAAAAATAGTAAGAATACTTTACAATATCTGAGTAAGGTGTTCTAAATGAAAAACTGAGGAGTATGTAAGTGGTACAAATGTGGCATTGTATACAGAAAGCTACAACACTTAAAAATGAACTGTATATCGTTATCAAGTAACCCCCCCACATTAAAACTAGGGCTTGGAATAAATCATAAATGAAGAAGACCTGGGTGACATGAAACTTGTATTTTAGAAAACAGCCCTCTACTTCTCTCCCATTTTCCTAACTACTCCCTCCCCACCAAAATAACGTATTACAAAATACTTTACTAGACTGTCCCTCTCTAAATTTTGAAATTTTTATGTAATCTAACGATGACGGAAAGTCACTCTAACATTAACCATTAACATTCAAGTTATTTCTTTTTATCTATCAGTGTTGACAGAAGCTCCACAGCCATGTTAACATTTGAGCAGGACAATCTTGTAGATGCACATTCCACTTCACCTCATTTTCCTTTGCTTAAAAAAGCTAGCAAATAAAGAAATACAGTGGGAGGGAGAAGGCAATGTCATAAAACTACTTAAGATGGAACCCTAAAAAATCATCGAAAGCAATGCTAAAGTCAACTCTAAAATTGTGAAAGATTTGAATTCACAAGAAATTCTTGCAATCACTGAAACATTTCAGAAGTAATACATAGTTTCACTCTATTTCATGTTACATATAAATTCTCCTGGATTATTAAACAGTTGTTTTAGCTATCAAATTTTATTACAAGGTTAAGTTTGATAGTTTCGAGATGACAGTATTGTCTTTAATGTGCATCTTTAAAAAAAAAAAACTTCAAGGGAAAAATAGAATTTCTATTATCATCTTTACATTTTATTACTAGTTCTTCTGAAGCCAATTAAAATTCAGTCCCCAAGACAGCATAACAATTTTCTGATTTGCAAAAAGGTTTTGGTTCTGTATTCAAATGCAATGACTAAATTACACTATCTGATCACAATAACAAAACATTTCCAGGTATGTCAGTTTTGATCAGACTATCCTTTTAAAAATTAATAGGATGACACACTTAAGAATTCAAGTAGCTCCATCTTTCTATCATTATCCAGGACTGATGACGGTTTTTGTTGCTTCTGCAAGTCTTTGCACATTAAATCATTTCTTTCTATAAAAAAGTTCTCAGACCAATCCCGCCCTCCAAAAATACAATTTCTCTTCAATGTACACATCACTCATATGCACGCACACACACCTGTTGCCATGTGGTTTTTTGCAAAACCCACACTGCTTGCTGGGAGCCCACATGGATTTGCTCTCAAATAAGGAGCCATGGTCTGAACCTTCTCTCTTTACAGTAGCTATGTTGTCTGGAATGAACAACGGAGGCTCATCCAAAGAAAAGCTTCTGCTGCTTCTTCTCTGACGAGGCTGCAAGTTCTTCTCGGGTTTTTTAAGTTTCATCTTCTCCTCTTCCTTACAGTGCTCAAGGCCAGGGTGTTCAGGCTCTTCTTTCATGTGACTAGAGACTCTCGCTGCTGGTGCCTGCTGCTGAGGCTTATGGCACGGTTTGTGGATGGAATGCAATGAATGCCCAGTTTGCGCAGGACTAGGATGACAGTGAAGAAGCTTATCACCCAAAGAATGAGTTAAAGGCTTGGGGCTTTGCACTGAATTTTCATCCTGCGGTGTTTTTCTGAATACAGACTGAGCTTGGTTTTTTACAGCTTTAACTCCAGAATTGCAACTTTGAGTCTTTAATTCCTTATCAATTTTTTTCCTCAGTTTATTTGGCCTATGGAAATTTTGCTGAGAGTCTGGTTCATCAGCATTTCGTTTCACACTTTTGACATTAGTTTTGTTATGCACTATTATATGCTTTGCTATAACGATTTTCTTCAGAGTATCTGTGGTCATCTTTTGCTTAGAATGAGTTATAGGTTTTGTATGTTTGGATTTGTTTTTTGACTCCACACAAGAAACACTACTTGACTGGCTGCTTCTATCATTCTGAAGGTTTGCTGTCTCCTGAGACTCCTCTTGGATACTTTCAATATGATTCAACTGTTTTGAATTTTGGTCAGGCACATTACAAACAGCACTTTCTACAACATTATCTTCTGGCTCAAAAGCATTAGTACCAACCACCTCTAACTCTGACTTATTAAACTCAGGACTCTTTAACTGTGTATCACTGGACTCTGTTTCTTCACAATAACCCAGGGGCTCCATTTTATTTCTCTGAAGGGAGTTCTCAGCTTTAGCAACATCCATAGTATTCAGTTCCAAATTACATTCAGTCACTACATCCACTGAACCAGACAAACCTACAAGACTCTTTTCTGTGCTACCTGCATTTATACAAGCTACCACACCACCAGAAATACCAGCAGATGATTCAGGTTCCCCAATAACTTGGTCGTCTTCGTGGGATAATTTTACTGTATCTTTTGATTCTTGTTCAAATTTGTCCTTTGCCCTCTTTTCTTCAATGGTCTCATCCATTTTACCTGAAATGGAATCATTTTGTTCCTCTTCCTCCTTATCTAAAAACTTGAACAATGGGCTGCTACCAGTCTTAATTTTACATTCCATCAGAGCTTCATTTTTTTCTTCAATTCGGACACAAGTCTCTGAAAGAAGTGGACAATTTAATTCATGAGATGGCAGACTGGCTTCTCCCTGATTATTACACTTGGGCTTGGAATCCAACCCAGAGTCATCCTTCATTTCAAGGCAAGAGGACCCTGAAGAGTAACTGGAAGTCCCTGGTACTTGTGGTACCGCTTCAGTCTGGCCAGTATGGCGGCTGCTCCTTCTGCTCTCCTTCTGGTACTCAGGTTTCAGTGCTGCACAGGCTTCCTCTTTAACCTGACATCGCTCTGACGGTTTCGCCCCTGCCTTAGGAGCAGATACAGTCTTCCCAGATGCTTTTTTTGTGCTACTTAATGGTGCAGCATTTGAACGCTTGGCAATAGTGCTTTGTCGCAAACTTCTTACTTGCTCTATCACAAGGGGAAAAAAATAAATAAAAATAACTTAGCTATTTCTCCATGTGTTTTTATTTCAGTAATTTTTAAAAGATATCACTTCTTTATTCTGACCTATAAATTTTCTCTGATCATTTTGACAAAAAATGTACTAACAGTTACTTATAATCACAAACACTGAAACATATGTAATTTAACATGTGTATGTTAATTTTGTATTTATCAGTTTTTTGAATCTCAGAGAGGAAAAACTTATAAAATTTGGAATGACATTGTAATTTGTGACAAAATATGTTTGAGTCTCTTTTTCATAAGAAACTGGGACTAAAAATCAGTAAAATAAGCTTCCTTTACTATTAATGCCTATCTTAAAGAATATTATATACTTTTGAACATTAAGTATTTCTCAATATTTTTTAAAAACCAGGTGTAGTGGTGAACATCTATAATCCTAGCACTATGGGAAGCTGAGGCAGGAGGATCACCATGTTCAAGTCCCACCTGGACAAGACAACAAGACCTTGCCTCAAAAAAATTTAAATTTAAAAAGAGCTGGGGATGTAGCTCAGTGATCGAGCACCCTGGTTTCAATACCTACTATGGAAAAAATTAAATTTTTTTTAAAAGTCAAATGGCAATAAAATTTGAAACTATCTTAAAAATGGTCTATGTTAGGATGAACTTCAAAAGGTCTCTAACTCCTTTTTAATGTTATTTCTTACATCAACCTTTGACATTCAAGTTATTCCTAAAGAATGAAGTATATATCAGAGTACCACACATATATCACCGAAAGAAAAAAAGAAATTTTAAAGATTTAAACCAAGAGAATATGCAGGAGAAAATAAAGGAAAAATATGAAAAATTTAATAAAGCTTCCCATCTGGAAGAATGCCCTTTTTCTATCCTGATGCACCCTCCGTGAGGAGAAATACAATGTGAAAACTAGAAAGAGAGCTGTATGATATACTATAGAGGAAAACAGACAATACATTAAAATTCAAAATATGAGGCTATTTCCAAGGCTATGTATTCTGGCACCTCTAAATCAAGTCCCCATGACAATCATCTTTTAGGTTTCCCTTTCAACTTCAAACATTTCCCTATTTATCACTGGACTATTCTCCTTTAAGAATGTGATAGAAGGGCTGGGAATGTGGCTCAGTGGTAGAGCAGAGCTTTGCCTTGTATGCACAAGGCCCTAGGTTCAATCCCCAGCACCACCCAAAAAAAAAAGGAAGAAAAAAATCTCATAGAACAGTAACATACGTCTTCATTTACCTGGAACAATCCCAGGTGATAAGAGTCCTCAATGTCATCTTTCACAGCACACTCTCACTCTAAGTGCTACAGTTAGGAAAATAATTAATATCGCTATCAAATACTAGGGACCTCTTCTAATTCCCAAGGACTTGACACATTGTCTATATATTAGGGAAGTACTGAACATTTTTAATGATTATTTAGTGGATCATGAACAGTTTATCACATGCTCATTGCTGTACTTCAAAAATAATTAAAATCTTAATGTTTCACTTCAGGTAATTTTTAAAACTTTGAAGACAACTCCATTCTTAAAACACAATAAATGAAGAACTTTTCATACCTATTACCTATTACTAAAGGAAAAACCTTCAACACTTAAGTGGTTGCTAAAAATGATAAAGGAATAGCACAACTGTTAAGATATCTAATAAGACATTTTTTCTAATAGTGATTTATAAACCAAAGATAAATTCACCTTCTTACCTCCGAATACGAACTTAGCTTGAAGCCTTGCTTTTACAACCTTAAAAAAAATTATTTTTCTGCATTGCTCATCTTATGTATTTCTCAGTCTCAAATATACATGTGCCAAATAAGTAACTTTTAAAAAATGATTAAAAATATGAAGCAAAAAAATCAGGTAAATACAAACAGTGAAGTTTACCTGCTTTTCAAATCCCTACCATAGGTACAATAAAGGAATCTTTTTTAAAATGGCATGAACCAAAAGGAAAAGAACTAGAGAACAGAAAAGAATGACAAGTTTTAGAAACCAAGTGAGGTGACTTTTAAAAAACAAGATATGGGAGACCCAAGAAGACAAGCAGAGGCTGACCGGTTTAGTAACAGCCAACACCATATAACACCTACCCCCAAAATGATGGCCTGTTCTCTGGAAAGAAGAAAAGAAAGTTTCTAGCCTTAGGAACCTCAGGTACATTTGAGAATCGCAGGACAGTACAATATGCTTACATCTGTGAAAACAATTTGTTGCATTCATCAACAGTTAAGACACCCCAATCAGCTTCTCTCAAAACCCATATTACTATATACAGTACCTACTAAGCTACGGGGGAAAATCCAAGTTCTGATGAGGGTTTCCACCAAAAGACTGCGATCACATCATCAAACACGAATGGTCAAATCTCAGTCAGCCCACACACTTAAGAGGCCCCATAAAGTGTTTGTTCCCCATTCTTAAATATGAGCACCAGTCAAGGATCAAACATGTTGGAAAGCCTAACATAAAGGACAATAGCCAAATTTTTTATAGAAAATTTTTTAAATAAAACTATGCAAAGAAACGAAAATTTTGAAATACCTTTAGTATCTCAATAAAGATAAAAGGTATTACACACACATCCATAAAGTAAGAAGAGACTTTTACCAAAAGGCCACTGCCAAAATGAAAGAACTGAAAATGAAAGTACAAGTAAAGAAACTAACAAAAAGGTTTGAGGACAAATATGAGATAATTTAAACAAGGAGAAAGATAAAGAGGTAGAGAATAAGCAGAGCAAAGAAAATGTAAAGGCTGTTTACATAAAAGGACTTCCAGGAAACAAGACCTGAGAATAATGGAATAAATTATTCAAGGAAATTTCCCAGAAATGAAAAAGTTTTCAGAGTAAAGGATCTAATTAAATCCTAGATCAATACATAAAATGCACTCACACCAACATACACTATCATGAAATATCAAACTACAGTACTAGAGCTGAAGAGGAAGATTCCAGAAACGTTCAGAAGTACATAACATCTTCAAAAAAAATCAGAATAAACTTCTTACAAACACTTAAGTTAGAAGAAAATAGAGCAACAAACTCAAATGTCTAAAACAAAGATGATTTTCAACCTTGAATTCTTTGTCTCACCCAAACCAGGGACTCCATTCTGAGAAGAGAGTCAATAAATCAACAAATAGAGAAAGTTGTAGAAGCACATCTCTTCTCACAAGTTTCTGGAAGAGGTGTATCACAAAATGAAGGTGTTCAACTAGAGAGGAGCAAACAGAAAGTAACAAAGCAGATTCTTCACACAGATGCCAGAGAGCTCACACCAGTTCACGGGGCAGTACGTCAGGGCACTAGACGCTTCTTCAATAGGATGAAATGACAAGAGTACCGATGAGCACAAATTTCTTCAGGAAAGATTTAAGACAACTGGCAGAATAAGATTGATAGTACACAAGTGAAAAATAAAAACAATCAAACCTGAAAGACAAAATACTGTAAAGGAAAGGAAAAATAACCACAGTTTTATTACCTGAATCATCTGTAGCATATAGTCATAGAAAGGTAAGTAATTACTGCTGATCTAACAAAACTATACAGTGGAAGGATACGAAAGTATGTGTGTGAAGGGAACAAAAAAGCAAAGAAGAATATCCAAAGTGTGACATCAAGAAATAAATACAAGCCGGCCATGGTAGCGCACACCTGTAATCCCAGCACTCAGGAGACCAAAGGCAGAAGGGTTGCCACAAGTTTGAAGCCAACCTGGGCTACACAGTGAGTTGAATGCCAGCCTGAACTGCAACAGCAAGACTGTTGCAAAAAAAAAAAAAAAAACCAAAAATGAAACAGTAACAACAAAAATCAGACCAAAAAAGGAGCACTGGCAATCTCAGAACACTGGGAGGCTGAGACAGGAGGATCACAAATGTGAGCCTAGACTGGGAAACTCAGCAAGACAGCCCTGGGTTGAACCCCCAATACTGTCCAAAAAAAAAGTAGAAGTAGTAATATATGCATGTTACCAATACAGTCAAAGATAAATATCAAAATTAACTGAAAGAGTCAACAGTACCTTCCTCTCAGGATGGGAAAATGGGTGGTGGGTACTAGAAGTTTCTACAACAAGTTGATATAATCTGTTTTGATTATCAAGATGCTTATATTAGCAAACATCAAAAAATATGATCTCTGCTTAGATATTTTATAAGCTAACACGTTTGTTCCTGGAACTCTGGTTTTCTAGCTGGACCTCTTTGGAATGATTACCTTGTGCCATTAAACGAGGTGATTTTCTTGGTGATCTCACTGAGTTTTCTTCCACTTTGTCCCTCAAATTCCTGTTAGGTAAAATCAGTTCTTCTTCATCAATGGTATCATTGCCACTTTCTTTAACAACTCCTTCATCCATAATATCGTCAAGACCAACAACTAGAAAAAGACAAAAACAATGAAAAATTTAATTTTAAAAATACTGTGGGGCAATACATAAAACAATATGAGTTTTAATAAAATACCAAAGTCATGAAAAACTAGGTCTATTCCTAACATATGTGAATACTGCTGCTACCACTATTAAACTGCCACATCAATTCAGTATGAAAAAGTTCTGCCTTATGAGGTAACTAATCAAAGAGAAGACTAGTTATAATCTTTCATGATCTGACCTCAATTACCACTTTATCATTTGCTATTCCCTTGAGAATGTGACAGGCAACTATACCAGAGTAGTCAATCATCCCAGTCTTGCTTAACATAGTCACAAAAGAGTTCCATACCTTCAAAAACTTATGATTCTAGGTTCCTGCCAGAATCCAATAATCTAACTGGATCATACCACTTAGATATTTTATGTTATAACACTGTAACTGTGAGAGTAAGCAATGACTGGGGGGTGGGGGTGGTGAAAAACACAATGTCCCTTCCTCTAAATGGTGGGGAAAACGCTAGGTGCTTAATACAACTGTGTATTAAATTCTTTTTCCTCATGAAGAGACAAAGCCATTTATTTGGGAGGAGGGAAGAAAGACTGCAGAAAGATGGACACAAAGAAATACGAATACTGTATTCAGATTGTCATTAGGTTTATGTACAGAACACATAGCACTTAATCAGAAAGTATGTAACTCATTCTAAATGCATACATATGTGAATTCTTGTACAAAGAATGGGACTATTCAGAGGAAAAGATGTGCATTCAAATCCCTGCCAGAGCATTTAAGTTAAAGTAATGTAACTTCTCTCTTAGTTTTCTTAATCTCTAAAATGTGAATGACAACACTTGTCCTACCTACCTCACAGGGTTGTTGTGAGAATCAAGTGAGATGAAGTGTGATAACTCACTCTGTAAGCTTTAGAGCACTATACAAACATTAATTATCTTCATCCTAGAGGTTAGAAGGAACCTCAAGAAGTAATCTAGTTCTCATCTTTGTATCCAAGTAGAACTTCATTTAAAAAGAGCTCAACAAGACAGTGGTCTACCCTAAAATTTAAAGAGAACAAAATTCTTTATAAATATACTTGTAAATGGTACAATGTTCTTGAAGAGCATTTGACAACAAACAGAATCACAAGACTCTTCATACCATTCGACCAAGATAAATTAAGAACACAGAAAAGAATAGATTGTGAAGAAAATGCCCAGAAAACAATCTGATCCTTTTAAAAAATAAACAAATGAAATGTGTGTGTTGTACATTTAGACAGGGTAAAGAACAAAAAAAGACTGACAAGAAAAAGATGAAAATCATACCAATCATCATACGCAGTAATTTTTACCTACAAAAGATATGCATACAGCTTTTTTTCTACTTTCCAAATGTCCTGCTGTAAGCATGTCTTACTCTCAAAAACTGAGCCCATGCTCTTAACCACTATGCTGTACATTGAAAGCTTAATGCACAATATGCTTTAGAAAAATTAATCAGGACCTATTTAATATTAGGGTAAAGATAAATGGGAAGTCCACTTAGGCTATTCCTTCACAATGGAATATTTATGTGGCCCACACTGAGAAACATTCTCAAAAAAATTCTGACATTAGGTAAGGAGGTCCATTGTGGTAATTTTAAAAAGTAAAATTAAAACTACTTTTCATCTCAATTTCATATAAAAGCAATTACTAAGCTTCATAAAAATGCAGAAGAAAAAAATGCAATAAACTCTTATCAGTGTTTATCTCTAGTGATAAGGTGGATAAAGAATACCATTGCTTAACCTTTCTCACACTTTCTATTTTCCAAGTTTTCTACAATGAGCATGTATTTTTTTATTACAGTCAGGAAAGAAACAATAAAAAAGGGGTGAAAGGCTAATTAACAGTATTTGTTCACAGAAAATGAAAATGTATGTTATGAATTTTACAGCTATACTGCAAAGCAGAGATAGGACTTTGCCAAATCCAAAGGTTAATTACTCAGTTTTATAAGTTATTTGACTTCCTAGCGGCATCCAACGCAGCTGATTTCTCTCCTCTCTTCAACCTTACTCTCAAATTAGCTTCTAAAACTGTCCTATGTCGCCAGCCACTTCTCTTCAGTAACATTCTTGCAGATATCCACATGATCAGAGCTACCCAACAGTTCAGCCCTTCACGTCTTCTCCTTTATTCCTTCTCACACCCAGGCACTCCTAGGTGATCCCTTCTAGTCCCATCTACAGTACTGCGATGGCTTCCAGATATTTTCTCCAGGCCCACAGTCACATTTGCCGGTTTGATGACTTTAATCTGCTTAGAGTGTCTAACACCTACCCCAAACCCAATACACTGAAAATGAGTATCAAGTCCACCCATCCTTTCACTCACCTAAAATAACTACTCCTCGCAAGGTGTTCTCAGTAAACAAAACCTCCATTTGCCCATTTGCTTGAGCCTATACTTCTCTCTATACCTTCCCCTACATGCAAGCAAAAGGAATATCCTACTAGCTCTATCTACAAAATGCATCACTCATCTGAACCACTATCATCTCCACAGCTAACACTCTACTGCAAATCATCATTTCTCATCAATATGCTACTGAAGTTTGCTAGCATCCCAAATTCCTCTACTGCAAACCCTCCCCACCAAGACAGTTTACACAGTTCTGCGATCCTTTGAAAACATTAATCAGATGTTACATTCTGTTTGACACTCTCCAAAGCATTCCTAAAACATTTAAAGTCCAAAGCCCTACCCAGGGCCTACCTTGCTGACTGACTATTCTAATCACACAGACCCTTGCTGAATACAAGAAAGCAGACATCAACAAAGTTCACTCATACCTTCTTGAAGAAGTCTACACAAAACACCTCATCACTGCCTACTGAACCTCAGTATACTTTATTTACCCTTTAAAACATGTTCACTGGCATTACGTTATCTATTTACTGCCTATTTTACCCACCAAAGCGTAAGCTCCACAATGTCAACTTATTTGTGGCTTGAAGACCAAAATCCACACAATCCTGTATATATGAGGTACTCCAGAAATATTTGCTAAATAAAAGAATTACAGGAAGAGGTCTGAAAAATTTTAATTTTTTAAAAAGAAAAATATTTCCATTAACCCCAACAGAGAAGCTAGAAGGACAAATTTAAAAGATAATGGCTTCACCTTTTGGACACACTGGTCAATGAACAACCAGAAAAGGCAAAAAACAGCATTAAGGTAATACCACACACACTACAAAGAGTATGGAGAAATTCAAGGCAGCAAGGATTAGAAAGGAGAAGAAAGAATAAAGAAAGGAGAAAAATCCACTAGCTTTGCACAAAAGCAGAGAGGGTCAAATGATAAGGGGTTACAAAGTGAACAGGTGAACAATGACAATAACTACAGCTTTTTTTTTTTTTAAAGTAAATTTTATCCCTTAAACTTTTAAGATTTTTTTTTCTATATATGTGGCAGATGGGAAAGGTAGAGGCAAAGGAAGTAGGCAGTAAGGTAGGGAGAGTACACTTCACAAAGGAGATGAATGTTAATGAAGGAATTGAAAGATAAGTGGAACAAAAGATGGAAGTGGAAGAAAACAGGAGGAAGGAAACAAGGGAAAAATGAGAGCGCTAACCATGTTTGTATGTACTAGACAGTAACTTGGAGGTTAAGTGATGCCTAGAGATTCTGCTGTGGCTTGACTGTGTCCTCCGAAAGTTCAGGTATTAAGAATTCCCAAATTCATATGCTACTAATATAGTCAGGGGCCTTTAGAAATTAATTAGGCTTATATAAGGTCATGAAGATGGACTCCCCCCCATCATGGTATCTATGAAGAAAAGAGTACCATGTTAGCATGCTTGCTCTGTCTGACCATGTGACACCTCTCCTCATCATGTTAATATATGCAAGACGCTTAAGAGATGGATACACCATGCTCTTGGAATTCTGAGCCTCAAGGACCAGGAGCTAATAAACCACTATTCTTTATGAATTACCAGTCTGTGGAATTCAGTTACGAGAAAATGGACAAAGACAGGACTAATCAAAAACCTCGTGGTAAACAATCTATGATTGGAACAACTAAGACTATATTGGAGATGTTCCGAAAAGGTAAGATTTATGAAAGTATTCTTTTTGTTCTCCTGCTCCACCTGGTACACATTTCCTCCATGTCAAAAAATCCATCTCTATAGTGAGTCAAACTCTACCTGCTCCTAAAGATGCTACCTATCATGCTGAGTAAGACCTCCAAAAATGAAATACTACTTAGTCTCAGTGTGTCATGAGATTTAAATTAACATAGAAAATCCTAGGAATTATATCTGGCACTTAAAAAGCCCTATGTTGTTAACTTTTCTTCAATCTTTCCCTCAATTATACTACCATAAACATTATAAGTTTCTTCTCGCTTTTTTATTAGCATATATTAATTACACAGAATCATAAGGTTCATTTTGGTATATTGTGTACATATAAATTATGCACAACATATTTTGATTATTTCTATATCACACTACTCCCTCTTTATCCTTGTCCTCTCTCTTTCCAATTCCCTTCATCTTTTTAAATTGTCTCTCTTCTCTAATGCCACTACTCCTCAAATTCTTTAATGTAATTGAAAGGGAAGCAATACTCCCAAAGTCATTCTGGGAAACAAGCATTACCCTGATACCAAAATCAGAGAAGGATCCAATCAAGAAAGAGAACTATAGGTCAATCTCCATAATGAACACAGATGCAAAAATCCTCAATAAAATACTGGCCAATAGAATGCAGTAAATCATCAAGAAGATTTACATACCATGACCAAATAGGATTCATCCCAGGGATGCAGGGATGGTTTGACATATGCAAATCAGTAAAGGTAATATACCACATTAATAGAACCAAGAATAAAAACCATATGACCATCTCAACAGACACAGAAAAAGCATTCCATGAAGTCCAACACTCATTCATGATTTTAAAAAAACCCTACAGATAATTAGAATAGAAAGTCTTTATCTCAAT